CGTGGTTTGGGATAGCAGAGAGTTTTCAATGAAATAAAAAAAACACCTTGCAAAAGTGTCGACGATGGCGGGGAGCAAACCCTCACCGTACGCCTATTAAGCGAGACCACTAGACTTGGAGCTTTGAAAAATTTTCAAGTCTGATAAAACCCTGAAATGTTGAAAGCCCAGACTCACGTATCACACTTGTCGGGTGTTTATTAAATCTTGTGACAAATGACTGTTGTAGAGGAGGATCATGTATAAGGTGTGCAGTTAGCGAACAACACGTGTGCTGCATACATTCTTTTCAGCTTTTCCTATTAATGCTGAGGTCTTTACAAGCATCTTGAGCATCTCTGGCACCTTGCTGTTGAATGTTTCTTCAAGTCGAAAATGAAATATAGTCACACAATAAGTGTGCAGAACCATACTTTCTTGGATGGGGCGACGAGAGAAAATAAATGCAGAAATAAGGCGTTCACCTATACAAATGTGAGAAAAGGTTTGCCTTTAGAGAAATGAAAAAGCATTTTGCAAAAATGCCGTCGATGCGGGGAGCAATTCCGTACCCTACGCCTGTGAAACGAGACCATCACCACTAGGCCACGTTGGCGTTTGATAACGTAGCGACAAGTTCGCATATCCAACTGTACTACTGTGAAGCAAACTTCGAGCTTCCATAACTTTTTAAGGAAAATCATTTTGCAGTTTTAATTTCCATTTTCGTAAACAGCATTCAAAACTCTATCGATTTATCTGAGTCTCCATCCAAAGTCCCACGGTAAGTAGACTACCCCTCCTTGATAAGTGATAGGGACTGATAACAACTGACAGGAGGTGACAAGGGGCCTCAGAAGGCAAGTGTCAGAGGATTCGTTAACTCCTTTCATGGCATAGCCTTGGCGCTTCAGTACGTGGTGTGCGACGTAGAGGGACGGCGGATAGTCGGTGAAATAGAGTGATAAAAGGATATTAGATTACGACAATTGCGCCTCAATGCTTCTGTTATAAATAATCTACGCAATCTCCGGTATCGCTTAAGACAAAACCAGTCCTGTATGAGGATCTCGGTCGTCGATTTATAGGCAATATAAGAGGGACTACGCATATGAACTCCTGTTAGTGAAGTTCATCATCAATTCACAGCATTAGTAAGCACATATTATCATTAAAAGCTCCAGTGAAATAACAAGCTTGCTCAGAAAAATCATTGCGCCGCTATTCATCAAGGGAGTCAGTACGCAGTCAGGCTAAAGAAATATAGTACACGCCGTAAGAACTCAAAAATTCACGCGAATACTGGGAACTCGCGCCTTTTTGGTCTTTCCTTCATAAAACGATTCAGAACGATGTATCCCAAGAGCGAAAGATACCGTTAGACTTAGCTCGTCGAGCTTTACAAGAAAATACCTTGATCTGTTGAAAATGCTCTATTTTGAATTGCGCCATGCACTTGTGTTACATCCGAAAAGTGTTTGCATGTACATGGGGTGCACGCTTTAGTGCTTATAGGGTCTGATTGGTTTATGAGGTTGAAGTGTTAAGAATTTGCTCTGAAGTGCGCCACGTACTCGTTTCAGTACAATGTGAAAATCATTGATCGAATTTATTCAGTCTCCTTCGTTCATTTCTAATGTGGAGCGTGTAGATATCTACAGTCTCTGCACTCGACACCCTCCTTACAGGTTCTATTGAGAATATGACACCCTTTTACGGCAAAATGTTTGAGTCGATTATTTTACACCTTCTAAAATTTGGATGGATTTTCCTCCGAGACCTGAGGAGATGGCCTTGAGGCACTGTATTATTGTAGACAACTCTTTGTGCTCTGCATGACAGTTATGGTAAACCTTATCATAGAAATTTCTTCCTTGGTACGGCGCCAAGTTTCGTCAGGCCCAAATCATAAAAATGTTTTTCTCTCTTTTCTTGGCCTTTTTGCGGCTGATTTGCACACGGTTAGATTCCTCTTGGAAAATGCTACTGAATGATATATACATGGGTCAATCCGTGAAGAGATCCTTCCTTCATAACCATTTTGTGCCCTATGCTTGGCGGTGAGCTGTTTCCTGCTGGGCGTGTACGCATGCAGCCGGGTACTGTAGTGGGGGG